GCCTCCTCAGAATTTCATTTCCTTTGTAAGCACCGAGAGCTCTGACTCACGGGCTTCTGTTGCCTGCACCCCCAAGCCCTGTAGGGGGGGTAGGCAGTCCACTATGGTCAGCGACCTCCTTCCAGAGAAGCTCCGACCACCCAGGCCGCCAGCGGAGGCCAGTCTCTGGAAGCCCCACTGCATTGCAAGGCAGAAGATGGATCGGCCCACTGGCCAGGGGAACAGGAACATCAGGCCTGGCTCACGTTCAGACACAGGAGCCACCAAAGAGGAAAAATCTCACCGAGCCTCTGGATAGCCAAAGAAATTCTAGGATTCCGCGCCCCCCCCCAAAAAAAGATGTATAAAAACCGTAAGAAGCCAGGACTTGTCTCCTGAGCTGTGCACCCATCCCACCTGACCTCCCACACTGGGCTCGCTAAGCACCCACATTTCCTGCACCCACATTCCACTTCCCTCTTGAGGTGAAGGAGCAAAGCCCAGTCTAGATGTGAACACAACACAGAAAACTATACAACGTTCACACAGTTTACATGGCAAGGGAGCTCATCAGTCGCCCTGGCGCATAAAGGAACAAGGGTCTTAGAAGATACAGCAAGATGCATCCAGACCTAATTAAGGGGGGGATTTTTCACACAATGAAAAAAACCCAGTAGGGCAGCGTAGCGATCAGAATGCCGAACAGGGGGGGGGGGGACCCGGGAGGCCCAGGCTCAAAGCCCACTTCTGCCGTGGAAGCTCACTGGGCAACTTTGGGCCAGTCACACTCTCTGTCTAATCTACCCCACAGGGTTGTTGTGAGGATAAAAGAGAGGAGAACGACATAAGCTGTTTCGGGTCCCCAGTGCAGAGAAAGGTGGGGTATAAATGAGGTGATTAAATAAGACAGTAAATGTCTGTCACGGATCAGAAGGGCAGTGTCTAGGCCAAGCAGGAAGGAAGCTGTAATTGTTACGTGAACAATTTTTTCCTTAATTCGGTCTGTATGCATCACCCTGAAGCCCTCTTGGAGTTTTACCTGTGCACTGCTTACATTTCTCATGTTCTCTCGACCCTGCTGTATTTAGTTTCCCAATGTCAGCCACATACATGAAATGTCTGGAAAGGGAGATACCTTCATAAGCATCTAAGAAACCTTATGCTGGAATAAAACTTAAGTGTTTATGGTGCAACAAGACTCCTGTTTATTGTTACTGCAACAGATAAACCGGGACACCCCTCTGGAAATATTTATGTACACCTACACACACATGGCCTTAAAAAGCAGGAGTTTTTCCTCAGATGATGTTTGTGCCAATGTACAGCTGAGAACCACTGCAGTATTGCAGTAAGCGATCAGCTGAAGGCCATTCAGTGAATCTGTGCCAGAGAATTCTTCACTATAGATCATCCCTTCACACGACACCCTCCTCATCCTGCAGACAGAAGAGGCTCATAAGGCAAAGGATACCACACACATCATACAGATTATGTCTCATTTTACGGATGGGAGGTTACAAAAACTATTTGGCTAAAACAGGCAGGCAATTCTTAACCTCCAAAAGACTTTGAGCACCCCAATTAGGCCCATTTTACAGAGGGGGATCACAGAGGTTACAGAACCAAAGACAACAAACAAGCAAGCGGGCCCCTGGCTCAGCACCCTGGGTTGCTGCCTAGTCCAAAGCACACAGCAGCAACAAAGGCCTCACACACCTCTAAGTCCAAGTTGGAGCTACTTTTTACACAGCTCCAAACCTTGGAGGTCTAAATGTCTTTGAACCAGATCACACTGATCCCACATAATTTGATTTTAAAACACCCCATCCAGTTAGGAACTTGGGATAACATGACATGCCCCAGTAAATTCATCTGGTCTGCCAAGGTCTACCTACAATATCTGTGCAGAAAAATATTAACAACTTATTTGTTTTAAAAAATCAGAGCAATAGTTTTTCCAACCTCCTATAACTAAGAAAATCTTTAAAAATCATTTAACTAGTAACCTGTTCTATTAGGCTATAATATGACCCACGGTAACATCAGAACTAGACTACTGTAATGTTCTCTGAATAGGTCTTCCCAGAAACTCAGCTTGGAAACTCCAGTTGCTGCAGAATGCTACAGCTTGGTTATTGGCCACAACCGAAGTTTAGCACCTGATAATTAGTTTGACTAATATACGTATCATTTTAAATTAATTTAACTATGAAATTATGTATGAATTTTGTTCTGTTGTACACTGCTGTGAGCCCTGTCCAACAGGGGAGGGTGGTCTAGACGTCGCGTTTTATAAACCAACCAACCATCAAGAGTTCGGTGGCGCATGCACAGGACTCCCATTCTGCAGCCACTCCACTGGCTGCCCGTCAGTTACCTGGTTCAATCAGCCCCACCACTGGACGATTTTCGGCGGGGGGCCCTGGGGGAATGACATCACTTATGATGTCACGAAATAATAAAATAAAATAAAAGCTCCAAGGGGTGTCCTGGGGAAAGGCGGCAGCCCAAAGGAGAAAAGCCTGCCCCGGGAGACCGGAGAAGAGCGTGGCCCTCAGCCCACCAGCCTCCCCCTGCCCTCACTTTGCCAGCAGCCGGCTGGCCGGCCTGGAAGAGGGGCGGTGGCGGCAAGGGGCGAAAGGCCTGGGTTCATAAATCCCAATCCTAGTTTAGGGAACTCCCCAGCCAGACCTTGCAGCTGCCAGCTGTGCCAAGAAATCCCCAGGGGGTGCCTGTTTTTCCCTCCTCCCAAATCCAGCTCACCCAGTTGGGCCAGAAGCCGCCCACCAGACCGAGGAGCCGGTCCCTCCCTGTCTGGGTGAGGCACCACCAACCTGCCTGCCAGAGGGGAGGAGAAGGAGAAGCCCGAGAGAGCTACGTGCCTGTCCCTCCGATGCCAGGTCCCGGGGAAATCCCGGGGAACAACACCTCCAGCGCTGGACATGCCATGAGCATGGGCCGCCCCAGTGAGCTCCACTCCGCCTCGCAGCCACTGCTCCTCCAGAAGCCGCTCCCCGACCCTGCGCCCCAGCCCTGCCTGCTCAGCCTGCCGCCTCTCTCCTGGGGTGGGCTCTAAGATTTGGGGGGGGGGACTGGAAAATCAGGAGGGGGCATCGTCCCATACACCCCACACTAGCTACAACCCTGGGTTCGATCCAAGGTGCTGGCTGTCACATACAAAGCCCTTTGTGGCCTTGTTCCTTCATATCTTCAGGACTGCCTCTCCTCCCTACACCATGCCAGGACAACTTCATTCATCTTAACATGGCCTTCTGCAGGTACCACCCTGTTAAGTGGGCAAAATCAGCGTCCATATTGCAGGTATTCTCTGTTGTGGCCCCCCTTTATGGAATAGCCTCCCACTCTCCTGCATTCCACAAACTATGCAACACTGAATTACTCAGGAGGTCATTTTGGCAAAGGTAATAATTGTTATTACAATTGAATGGTTCAGAAAGGTGCTTTAATATAGAGATGGGGCTGTAAACTATACTATTATGTGATGCATTATTTGTAGCTATATCTATTACCCTATTATATAATTTCTGCATTTTTAAATTATGCCATACTTCATTTAATCTTTGTTCTAGATTTTTACCTGGTTTTAATTTCCACAATCCTGATCCTATTACATTGCTTATTGGATGTCTTTGTATCCAGTTAACAGCACTGACTTAGTCCCAGGGAGAAAGGCAAACTATTAACAACAAATAAATAAAACACAATCTCAGTTTTGAGAAATTCTTACGCAAACCATATCATAGCTACAAAGGCTGCAAGACCTAAGGAATGAAGCAGCAGGAGTCACTTCTGTGTAAACATGGACAGGAGTTGAATGAAAACAAGTGCTGTTCATACAGCTTCCCAGCTATCTGAAAACTAAACAATTAGGTACATTTAAAAAACAATGCATCAAGGAAATAACAGAATTATTCCACAAACTAGTGAATTTTGAAGAGAGATGAAAAAGGAAATGGCAAGAGCTATTTTATAAGTTTACAGCAGCTAGACCTATTCTTGCAAAACTTTAACAGAATAGACATACAATGGAATGAGGTTCTGCAACGTATGGAATCAACTTTTGTGTAAGCTTATAATGCTTAAGTAGCTACTAAATTAAATTATTAGTATTACATACTGGCATGAACTGTATTTGCAGAATCTTGTTCTATTTTTTTTCTATAGTATTCTGCCTCCCCTTTTTTGTGGGGAAGAGTCTACCGTCTTTTTTTGTACTTATACTTCAACAAATGGATAAT